GCACCCTAAGGGGCAATTGAATGCAGTTTTCCATTCACCCTCCTTTTAAATTCTGACTCTGTAATACGCCTCTCTCAAGTACAACTTGGAAAGATCTTCCCTTTAGACAAATGTGCCAGCATATCCTTCATCAGAGGGAGGGGGTAGAGGTTACTTTCACTCACTGCATTGAGAGATCTATAATCCACACAGAGGCGAAGAGACCTATCCTTCTTTTCGTGGAATAGCACAGGGGCTGCTGGTTTTGACTTTGTTGGCTGGATGAAAACCCTTGCTAGATTTTTCTCTATAAGTTTTTGTAATTCCTCTAACTCCCGCAGGGTCATGAAGTATAATTTTGGTCTAGGTAACTTTGCCCCCAGGAGTATTTCAATAGCACAGTCCGTGGGTCGGTGAGGGGGTAATTCGTCAGTCCTCTTTTCACTGAATACTTCAGCTAGATCTCGATATTCCTCTGGTATGCCTTCCAAATCCCCCTCGCTTGCCGCTGCAGCACTTTCTGGGGTTTTCACCCCCCCCCTTTGGTCTGGGCTGCCTTCTGGGCATCAATTTCCCTCTTTGGGAATCTCAGTTCTCCAGTCCTCCAGTCCACCCTTAGGCTCCATTTTGTTAACCTTGCCATGCCCAATATGAGTGGGCATTCCATGCCAGGGTCACCACAAATGTTAGAGTCTCTACTTGGTTCCCTATGATAAGCTGAATGGGTTGCATGGCGAGGGTGGCCAGGATCCCCCCTGCAATGGACCCATCTAATTGGCCGAACGAAATCGGCTTCTTCAGCCTCCTCACCAGGATTCCTAATTTCCCCACCAGGGTCAGGCTTATGAGGCAGCGAGTGCACACAGAGTCTATCAGGGCTCTTAATGCAACTTTTTCTGGCATCCCTGGGGTAAACAGCTCTACAGTTCTGGTGAGGGATGCGATGGGTCCACTTATCAGAGGTTTGTCCTCTGAGCTGTCTTCCAAGAATTGTGAGGGTTCTCCAGTCTGGGTTGGAGTTCCTCCCCCGTGTTTTGATGGGGTTAGGAACTTGACAACCTCCACGCTTTTTATTGCTATTTCCTTCAGCTTCAGCGGGGTTTTCCCGGATTTCCTCCCTGCAGCTCAGTCGAGCTTTCAAACTGGAGTCTTTGAGCAGCATTCGGCGGTACAGTGACCATCCTTCCCACATTTCAAGCAGCCCGTTGGTCGGGGAGTAGTGGGAATCTGTTTCGCCGGTTCCCGAGGTGCCTCCACTGGAGATCTTCCCCAGGATCTCCCCTGAGGCCGTTGCCTTCTGGTCCGATTGATCTCCACCTTCTCAACCAGGATGCACCAATCATAGAGTAGGTCAGGGTCACCCCGGGGAATGCAGGCATAATGCAGGTTGTTGTTAAGCCCATCTTTGAAATGTCGCACCAGAACTTCGTCTGGCCAATTCAGTTTGCTGGCAAAAGCTTGGAATTCTTCCATTCCCAAGGTTGTGAAAATGTTGTTGGGTCTTCTCACCTTCTCTTCCGCAGTGAGAGATAAGCCAGATGGCCGGAGGCATTCCTTTCTCACCCCAGGTTGACATCAAGGGGAAATCAGTTCAAAGAGCAAGTAGATAGAGGAAGCGGAGAGGATACATTGTAGCAGCTAAGCGAAAGGACAAGATATATAGCAATTCCCCAAAGGCCTTCCCCTCCCCCCAGGAGTATGGCAGAACCTGCAGAGGGAAAAAGGAAAAGACCCAAACTCATCAAGTAAAATCCCCCCTACCAAATAAATGGGTTCTGACAGAAACCTACATCCCAGTCAACAATAACCAAACACAAAAACTAGACAACCAGGTCAAGAGAGTCTCAGTGATCTCACTAGGAAAGGCTAAATTACCAAAGAAGAACAGTGGCAGATGAGAAGCAGTGGACCTATCCTCCCACACTTCTACAAATGCCCCAAAATACACAAACTTGATATACCCATCTGTCCAATTGTATCACTACCAGGGACCCCTACATACAACATTGCAAAGAATTAACAAAAAAGCTTGGGCACCTCAAAGAGGAAGCAAACAGTCCATTAACTCTCCACTATGGTATCTTCAAACAATCAGGAATGTGACTATAGATGAGTCCAAAATCATGGTCTGTTCACGTCTATAGATCCAGAATTAGCCAAAAAATCCATGACTACATTGCTCCACAGCAATCTGACTTAACCAAATATATGAAGATTGAAACGTCCAGGATTATAAATCTCATAAACCTCTGCTTTCAAGATTCTGACTGACCAACCGAACCAGCACCTTCGAGACATTCCAATCTTTTAATGTAAAACTTTATTGAGTACATCATTTCAGCACATATGAAAGCAAAACCAGCTCTGGCAAATCCCAGTCCAAACCGCTATAGTAAAAGAATAGAATTTCCCCTCCCATCCATGAACAGGTCACATTGCCCAATTAGGTGCAATTATATTGTTATGAGAAAATGTCTCTGAGTCGGGCCAGGCACCTGGTGAATTGTCCTTGATTCTCATGGTCTGCCTTCTTTATCTTTGTAGCTCGCATTCCATTTCCCCATACTCCCCCCAGGTTTGTTGGCAAGCTAAGAAGCAATAATTGTTGCAACAGCAAAGCAAGCTTCAAGTTTGACATCTGCTTACTGTAACTACTAATTTTATGGACAAATTTACCAACAAATTAAAGGGACACCTATGGGATCACTGCTTTCAGGACTTATAGGAGAGGTTGTCATGCAACATCTAGAAACCATAATACTTCCACAAATACAACTGAAAATATGGATCACATAAAAAAGGACCAATTAGAGAACACCCACAGAACCATCAACAGCATTTTTAAAGTTTACTATAAAAGAAGAAAACAACAACTTGCTACCTTTTCTGGACATTCTGTTAAGCAGAGACCACAATGGCAAACTAGAAAAGCAAGTCTACAGGAAAAACCACCCATACTTACCAGGTGGTCCATTACCAAAGCAACAACCCAACCTTCCACAAGAGACACTGCATTAGGACTTTATTTAAACAAGCCCAAACACACTGCAGCAACCTGAAACAGCAGAAAAAGGAAAGATATTAAACATATTCCAACAAAATGTAACTTTATCAAAAAGTCACTGACCACTAAACCCAATACAACACAACCAAGACAAACCCTAAAAAGAATTACACTGCCATACATCAAGAATATCTCAGAAACCACTAACTGACTCTTACAACCACATGGAATCAGCATAGCACACAAGTGAATTAAAGCCCTTCAAAACATCGTAAGCAGACCAAAAGATCCAACAATCCCAGAAGAAAAAACAGGAGTCATCTACAACATACAATGTAAGGACTGCAACAACCACTATGTAGGACAAACAGGCAGAAGACTGGCAGAACATATCCATGAACATCAACTAGCAGTCAGAAGACATGATGAAAATTCTTTAATTTCACAACATATAGACAGATTTAACCATAGTTTCAATTGGGAAAATGTGACCATCCTAGACCAAGCCAAGTCCAAAAATGCCAGGGAATTTCTAGAAGCCTGGCACTCTGACAAATCAGCCATCAATAGAAAGATAGATATTAACAACATCTATAGACTATGCAAAAGAGACTATCACCCAATCTAAAAAAGAACAAAAAGACCCAAGCACCTCTCCACTAGCAATCAGCATCCAGATCAGCATAGATTAACTCCAAGGTTAACATCAGACCAACAATCAAGTAAACAATACCCTAATCAAGAAGCTGCCAAAAAGCCAACAGTAAACAGCCCAAGTAAAGAAGCTCTAAGACCAGCCCCATCAACACTGACAAGGCAAGCCACCAGAATATAAACTGACAGCAAACAGCACTCCTTACTAGCACTGATGATGCTACCTAGTTTGGATAATGAAATATCTGCAAGAAAACAAGCAAGCTCAGAGAGCATCAAGGAATCCTCATTTATATGACTGGTACAGCTGACCACTTTTTAGTACTCCCACAATGTAAGATTTCCCTTTGTTGAAGGATCAGGGCTTATCAATTATTTTGCAGTCCAAGTTATTATAAGCCTGAGACAAAATGAATTCCCAATGAATCTGAATTGCAATTGATGTGTAAAATAATAAAAGAAACATCTCCCATATGTCTTATTGCTATAATCATTGTAGATTTTAGAAAGAGCCGGCACAGTCATACTCCACTCAGTATCAAGGATGCAGCTGTAGAGGTGGTCAACAGTATTAAATATCTGGGTGTTCAGATAACTAATAATCTGAATTGGTCTTTCCACACATCATCCTTAGTGAAATGTGCAAACCAGCATCTGCATTTCCTGCGTCAGATGAGGAGAGCACATCTTTCTCCTTCTGTCCTGGCCACTTTTTACAGAGGCACAATTGAAAGCATTTTAACAAACTGTATCGCTGTCTGGTTTGGTGGCAGCAGTGCCTCAGATAGAAAGTTCATATAAAGAGTGGTAAGGACAGACTTGAAGATCATAGGAAGCTCACTCCCTGGTATTCAGGATGCTGCTTATAAGCGCTATGTGCTTAGAGCTCAAAGCATTGTTAGAGACCCCACACACCCACTTTACAGTCTGTTTCTGTTGCTCCCCTCTGGGAGGAGGTTTCGAAGTATTTCTAACAGGACTACTCGATTCTGTAATAGTTTTGTTCCCTATGCTATCCATCTGGTAAACTCGCAAGATTCGTGTTTCTCACCATGCACATGTATACATAATCCGAACTAGACTGTTGTTTCTCTGTGTCATATAATATATGTGGGTATATGCATAATTCTTTATTTATTTATTTATTTTTGTCATATTTATGTAGTGTATATCAGAGATGGTGACCCTTTGAGAGCTGTATGCAACAAAATTTCATTTTAATGTATGCCGATTAGTGTATATTCAAAGTGACAATAAAGTTGTTATTATTCTATTATATTCTAATCCATGGGTCATCAGAAACAGAAAAACTAAAAATGTAATTTTAGTTTATAGTTGCAAATAGGTTTCAAATGTAACTTACAGTTGTCCATCCAAAATATTATAGGTGGTGGTAACCCTGCTGGTGGCCTGCAGGGAAGAATTGCATATTGACCTTCAGTAATTCTTACTGGAACTAGCTTTTCTTTAGTCCACAAAGGAGATCCTACATGGAACACAAAATACCGTCATTTAATCTTAGAATGAAAAGAAATAACCAGGAAAGGAAAATACTGTTATATAGTATAAATGTCAGACAAAATGAAAATTGTATTTAATTTTTAAATACAAGTTAACAAACAAAACGGTATTCTTTCTTAGGTAGGAATTTGATTTTGCTGAGTGTTATAACCTGAAAGCAAGCATTTCAAACATAGAGGGAAAACTATTTGCAAGAACTGAAGAGAAATAAAAGTTTCATTAATATTAAACTTACGGGATGCTCTTATAACAATATTATTGGAAATTGCTGCTCCAAGCACATTCCTTGCTGTACACTGATAGACACCTTCATATAATTCTGCTTTTCCTCCACTTTCTTCATTAATAATATTTATTAAAAGAGTCCCTGAGTGAGGCTTCGTTCTTATTCGTGGATCTTTTTCTATATCAAAGTGAGTTCCATTACGTGTCCATGAAAAGCTATCAATAAAATAAAAACACTGAAAAAGTTCTTTATTAAAAAACCACTTGTTTTAAGAGAATGTACAAGTTATAACAGTATAAAGCCAATATAAATAATAATAATAGTAGTAGTAGTAGTAGTAGTAGTAGTAGTAGTAGTAGTAGTAGTATTTGGATAGCCAATTAAACATGTGAGAAGCAAAGATAACAATTTTCTTAAAACACTTATCTCTATTTAATCCTTTTTAATTTTCTTTTCATTTTCTCAAATAACAAAAAAGTTGATTATGGGCCATCACACAGACTTCCATATCTTGAAGGCTTATAAACTGGTTCACAATCATTGATATATCTGATTAAAGAGTAAAAATTCTTAAGAAATTTGTTATATTCTTATTATTACAATAGTTTGCCTCTTCAGAAACTTTGTGATTCTTCTAGTAAGATATCAATCCTTTTTCCTGGAATTCATATATTCTTTTCAGAATTACTTTGTCTTCTCCTCTGACATTTGTAATTTATCCACTCTAATTAGGAAGTTATAGTTTTTTAACTTCTTTGTTTTTAAAGTAAGTAGAATCACCCCTTACCGCCTACTATTTATAAATTGTGAAAAGGAAAACCTTTGAATTTTTTTAGCATACTATATTTTTAGCAAAGTAAAATTAAAAATAATGAACATGCTGCGTAATTTTTTTTACATATAGGACAGTATATGGTATGACCTGATTAACTGCTTTCTCCATATACAGCAGCCAAATCATTAAGATGCACTTGGGATGATGCTTATTTGCTCTAAATTATAACACAACTTAAGAAAGCATGTTCTCAATGCTCATATCCCAAGTATGATTGAACAGAGATAAATTTTAGATAAGTTAACAGCACATTCAATCAGAGCAGTGTGATGTGTATAGTGGTACCACAAAATTTGATCAAACTTAGTCCAACATACTGAATCCAATGACAGGTTCAATCATCTCCTCCCCTTCTGAATATGGAATATAAGAATCCAGCACAGATACAATATTCTATTAATGTATTTAGTTAGACCACAAATACTTTGGCCACTTAGATCTCAGCAATGGTTCTGGTTATGAATGTTAATTATTTAACATTTGTGGCCTAGGCAAAACAAAATGTAGGAAATACTTTTAAAGGAAATAATATCAAAATGAAATAATTTCAGAGGCAAACTTCTGACATAACCATTTAAAAAACATCAGTTAAGTATTTATATGGTTTATTTTGATCTGGAATCAAATTTATCTTTGTATCTGTAAATCATTGGGTCAACTTCATAAGGTTTAGATATTAAGGCTGCAGTTATGGAAATGAGAGGAAACCTGATTATCCAAACCTGCCTTTTTCAGGCATACATAAGATTGTATTATAAAAAGATAATAAACTTACGTATACAAGACAATCAATCCAGTAATCACTTAAGGATAATGTTTTCCTTTGGCTGTATGCTATATTATAAAAAGCAATGAATGCATACAAATCTAGGACTTACGTAGGAGATGGTTTTCCTTTTGCTTCACACTGTATTACAATATTCTCTCTTGGGTCAATAATATAATCTTTTGGAGACTGCTGTGTTATTGTTGGAGGCTGTGACACTTTTTAGAGAAAGTGATCAAAGAGAAAATGGAAAAATACATTTTTATTCACTGGTTTTAAATTCCTCTTTCCCTTCAAGAGCTCAAGGTGGTGAACAGAGTACTTCCTTCCCCAGCTATCTCCACAAGAACAACCCTGTGATGTGAGTTGGTTGAGAGAAAATGACGATGTCAAAGTTACCTAGGGAGCTAAAGATGGACTTGAACCTGAATCCCCTCAATCCTAATTTTACAAATTAATCATCTCCCTAAAGTGGCTGAATAATAGTAAAGTTAATTGCAAACATTTAATGTATTGAAATCATACTTAAACCCACAAGGGATTAAGCTTTTCTCAAAAGAACATTATCATTACATGACTGTAGAACTGCATTCTAATGTACGTAAAACAATTTTTTCTACATACAAAATTTTAGGCAATTTAGCTAAGCTACCAATTTATACAAGTCACCATTCCAGCACACACAAGTATTATAAACAATTGTTCTTATAAACAAAAACCACTATTTATTTCCCTTGTCAGGCAATAACTAGTGCTATTTTGTATATTCTGAAATATCTATCCAGTAACTGAATTAACTATCCAGTAAGTCATGAAAAGAACTTGATTATACCCAGGGGCCTTGGCCTGATTGTTTTGTTACAGAGAACATCTGCGTATACAAAAAAACCTGTCTACTTCTAGAAAATTCACTGAATTTTTCATCAGTGTTCCTAACACAAAGGGAATTCAGAGCATTATCAGATGCCAGGCTAGCATCTTTCCATGTTGACATTCTGGGTAAGGAATTTGACTCAATTTGTTATTAACTATCCAGTAAATATGAGTCTGGCAATCAATTCATGAGAATGAAAAGAATTGTAGTTTTATATAACAGCAAGTTTTTACATGATGTCATATGTGAAATGAATTATTCATAACTAAGCATATTAATATAGACAAGCTCTGATGTGAGATTGTAATTGTGAGATGAAAACTGACCTGCTTAAAATGATTGTGCTTAGAATGCAAGGCTAATCTCTTTAAAGCACAGAAGAGTTCATTTCTATTCAGGACTGTTCCCATTGTCTCAATTCCAAATTCCAGTGATTCAGACAACTAGTTTCTAGGACACAATCTAGGTCTAAATAGTGATGCTCAACTGGAAGGGCTAAATAGTTAAAAGAGTAAGTGCATGTTCACATAGCATGTTAGGGCAAATTTTGCACTAATTCCTATGAGAAAAGTATTTACTCTTTTTCTGTGGATATTCTCAATCATCCAGGTCATGGTTGTTCCAAAAGGTCTTGCAAAAGATGACATAACAAACTATAGCCTCCACAATCTGATATTTAATGACAATTTCTATAACTATCTAAGCGACTTTTAGAGAAGGTAGTCAGTATTTTCTAATCCCTACAATTTCAGCTTGGGGGAAAAAAGGATTGGAATCAATCTCAGACAGCACAGAAAGGCTACTGCGCCCCCCAGTGCCTTTGTATGCCAATTTTACTCTATCCTCTATCTGCAGGGAGTAGAAACAGCAGTAGGTATGGCTGATGAGGCCCATTTTATAACCTCAGGGGTTGGAAGTAAATTAGTCAATGATTGCAAATGTCATATTTATGTAATATATCTAGCAAGAAGATGACGGTGTAAACCAGAGTGGGCTACTAACATATGGATAGTATTTTGCTCTCCTCAAGGAAAAGAACCAGATATTTCAAGCAAACAAACTATTAAGCCTTTTCTTTTTCTGCAGAAACAGTATTTCTTCTGAGTATTTATCATATGATGCATGCATCTTATTGCTTAAAATACAGCTATGCGGTATGGGCTTTGGTGTGCTGGTAAGATTCATATGTATGTCATATGTATTGTGCTTAATAAAAAAACTTTAATGTGTTATATTTTAAGAAATACGTCTCTTATTTTATTTGTAATATGTCTACGGAGATTCTCAATCATTCAGGTCATGGTTGTCCCTAAGGTTCTTTTCCAAAAGGCAACTGGACTTCCTTGGTTTTTTTCTTTGAAAACATTTTGCTTGTCACTCAAGGAGCTTCTGTTAGAATTGAAAACGTTTCTTGGATGAGAAGTGAAACATTTTCAAACAAAAAAAACAAGGAAATCCAGTTTATTTGTAATAAGTTATTTTACTTTAGGAAAGGAGGAAGTAAAAAAAGTATTCTATTTTCTTTGGTTTAACACTTCAAAACAGTTAATAATACATTTATATGAGTTCAGGAAAAGCAAAATTCTAATTGTTCATGCCCATCAATCAAGATAGCAAAAGGAAGAAAACTTGAGCAAATAACACACTTTGTGTACAGATGAATATTTGTTTGGAACATCAGCAACGTCTATCCCTGATACTTTGGTATTAGACCTTGTACATTTAGTGAATAAAAGATATTTTAAATAAGAAAAGTGCCTCTGGGTTTCATTTTCCAAATTGCAGTCAATTCTCTAAATCCTTCTTAAATAATGAGCACTAAATGCATTCAATCCAACTTGCTATTAAAAAAGTTTTTGTTATGAGTTTTAAAGACAATATGAGTTCCTAAATGGATAGGTACATATATTTAAAATATTAAAAATAAATATTTAAACAGTATTTAAATTCATGCCAAAATTGTTCTTGAGTATAGTTTCTACAAGCTATCATCTGTACAGAATATTAAAAATAGCAAACACAATAAAATGGTTTCAGCGCTTAAAAATTATATTAAGTCACACACAGTTTTTTTTGTGCAGAACTTACATTTTTCAAGAAGTTTTGCTTTTTTCCACGTATCAGATTCAGCAAGTGAATTGTAAACATGAATTAAAGAAAATTATTTGTTAGTAAGATAGAAGTAATGAAATCTTAGAAAGAAAAGATAAAGAGAAAGTATAGGAATCTATACTATAGAGCTTTTCTGACAACAGATATCGAAGTCACTTTATTAGCAAAGAATTAGCATAGACTATTTGGAACACTTGTTTAATGTTGCATTGTCAATTATGAATATTATTTGTAACTTATATGGGATAATTAGCATTGATACAAATGCCTTGTCTGATATGGAAATAGAATTAATGGATGGCATAGCCTGTCCACTGCAAACAAAAATCAATCAATGTATAGAATTAAATGGAAGAATACATAACAGAGATGGAATGCCCTGTTGTTAATTGTGCCATTTCATTACCATTTATTTGAATACAAAAATCCCACATTAATATTTTAGTGAGAACCATTAGTTCATGTTACAATGGAAATTATAACTCTGTGTTTATGACATGGGCTTGAAAAATAAATTAGCCATTCTTGCCAAGGTGATAAAAAATATAAGCTTCAGCAAAGACTATACATTTTACCACTCTCTTCTGATAGCCTTTGTAATAGAACAGTGGATTCTAAATACTCTAAACAGTGAGTTATAAGTACTTTAGATAATTATGTCAACTGCATGTAAAACCAGAGTAGATTTTAATGGTTCTAGATGTCTGTTCTTCCTGTGGTTGGTGTATATCGTTGATTATTTTTAGAATATAGCCTTTTTTTCTAATCTCAGTGATTACTGCCTGTCAGATCCCCAAATCCCTATTATTTTCCCTGCATATATGCTCTTGTTTTGGGCCTGCCATTCTGCTGGGAAGAGGAGGGAATTTGCTTTTGCTTGGGATAACTTTCTCTTTCTACTTTTCCTCTCCCACCTCTATCCACTTGAGAAAGGAATGTGTCTCCCTTATCAGGGAGACGGTTGCAGAGAAACGAAACTGGAGAAGATTTTGAGATGCGCGCCAAATGTGGCAGTTACCCACACATTGCGCCACCTGTGGATTGGCTGGATTTCAAAAGGACATTATGACTCTGGTGGGAAGAGGAATATTGCTGATTTAACTATACCATTTTAGCGAGGTTTTCCCCAAATCTCGCCTTGACTTCCTTACTGTCACTAACCCCTAATAAAAGTTTCCTTTTGAGACAATGCCTGTTTCAAGAGTTCTGCTTTCTTGGGTGGTTAGCTGAGGTGGGTCCTTACATAAGGCGAGATCTGCATAGTACTCAAACCTGGAGAAGCTGCTACCCTACCAGGGGAGTTGCAACTGAATTTCACATGGAAGAGTTCCAGGCAGAGAAATGGGCTGAAAACCTCCTATGCCTGAAACCAGATGAAAGCCTCTCCAGGGACCTGGAAGAAGCCAGGCCTTCTGCCCCCCTTTTGGGCTACAAGGGGCCTCTGCAGTATTCATGCAATTGATCAACGAAGTCCTACATGATCATCTGTATAAAGGGGTTTTGGTTTACCTAAATGATATCCTTATTTACACCAAAACCAAAGATGAACACATTAAATTGGTCAGGGCAGTACTAAAAAAGCTGTGCTCTGCCAAACTGTACACCAAACTGTCAAAGTGTGAGTTCCACAAAGATCGTATTGATTACTTGGACTATCGTATATCTAACAAGGGAATAGAGATGAACCCAGAGAAAGTGAGAGCAGTCTTGGACTAGGCTCCTCCAAACACTAGGAAACAGCTCCAAAGTTCCTAAGAATTTTTACAGACAATTTATTCCATCGTTTGCACAGATTGTCCTCCCAATCCCAAACTACTAAAAACCAGAGGGGGGATATGCCAAAGCCCAGTCAACCATTAAAATGGGCAGGAAAATATCAAGCAGCTTTTGAGAAACTTAAGAGACTTTTTTCTATGGAGCTGGTTCTGAAACATCCAGACGAAGAACAGCCATTTATAATTCAAGCTGATGCCAGTGATGTGGCTGTGGGAGCAGTGTTATTACAGAGAAACAAAGAAGGACAATTGCAACCTTGTGCTTACACCTATAGGAAATTATCAGAGACTGAGCAGAGGTGGGCAGCTTGGGAGAAGGAGGCTTATGCTGTACAATGGGCTCTCCTCACTTGGAGGCATTTCCTGGAAGGGAGTAAAATATGGTTTCAAGCATGGACTGATCATAAGAATCTTGAAGCAATGAAAAACGCCAGGAAGTTCTTCCTCAAACAGGCAAGATGGTCTCAACATTTCCATTGTTTTGATTTCACTATTCACTACCTCCCTGGGGGAAAGAATTTTTTAGCTGACGCATTGTCCAGATTACCACAATATAACAATAAGAAAGCAGAGGTGACTATACCATTTTTGCACCCTCATCAATTAGCAGTCCCTGTAACCACCAGAACCCAGTCGAAACCTATGGCTCCTTTCAGAAAGACTTTGTTACAGGATTTTAAAACTGCATTACAGACCGATGAGTAGTTTCGAAACCACAATAACCTGTGTGTGTTGAAAGACAGATTAGCGTGGATTGGGGGAAAACTTTATGTCCCAGCAGCCTTAAGGCTTAAAGTAATGCAAGCAGTGCATGATTCAAAAACTGCTGGACATTTTGGATTTGTAAAAACCTTACATCTCATTAAAAGGCAGTTTTGGTGGCCCGCATTGAAATAGAACATAGAAAGCTATGTAGCCAGCTGCCGCACACACGCAGCGGCTAAATGGCAGCAAGGGAAATCCCCAGGATTGCTTCAACTGGTAGCAAGTTTGTTAGCACCCTGGAGAGATATCTCTATGGATTTTATTGTGGAACTGCCTGAAAGTGCTAGAAACACTGTAATTTGGGTTGTAATAGATTTGTTCATTTCATTCCATGCCCCAAGATCCCAACTGCAAAAACTTTAGCTAAACTCTTTGTGCAAAACGTATCTCGCTTTCATGGGACCCCACAATGTATAATTTCAGACAGAGGGGTTCAATTCACCTCTAAATTCTGGAAAGCTTTTCTGGACCTGATGGGTTCTAGTCAAGGGTTATCATCTTCACATCATCCTCAAATGAATGGGGGGACAGAGAGACTGAACTCAGTTCTAGAACAATATCTGAGATATTGGTTTGACCTGTTACCATTAATTGACCAATATCTGGTCAATTGGCTTGACCTGTTACCATTAGCTGAGGTTGCTTATAATAATGCTGTGCACTCCAGTACAGGTTTCATTCCATTTCAAGTAGCTAATGGTCAAATATTTGTGGCCATGCTCGAACTTCCTATCAAGGAGCCTGAAATCCCCTCCTTCCAGGAATGGATTAAACAGTTACAAAATACCGGGCCAGTATTCAGGAAAGCTCTGGATGAAGCCAGGGAGGACTATAAGACTCAAGCCGATAAATGGAGGGTGGAGCAAAAAACATATAAAGTTGGGGATCAAGTATACCTCTCTCCACAAAGTATTTGCAGTCTTTACAACCTTCTAAGAAGTTAGGTCCTAAATTTGTTGGACCTTTCCCTATCAAATGCATCATAAACTCTGTGATGGTGGAATTGGATTTGTCAAAGAACCTACAGAAAATCCACCCTATTTTCCACTGCAGCTTACTCAAACTGGAGGTTAATTCTAACCTCAGGCCTCCTGCACCTCCAGTGCCCACGTCTATCATGGTTGAGGGTGAACAACATTTTGGACTCTCGAACACACCATGGTGTGATACAATAGCTTGGAAGAATCTCCCTTACGCCCAGAATGACTGGGTGTACAAGAAACATGTTAGAGCCCCTAAATTTCTAAGATGCCTCCATTCTCAAGATCCTGATAAACCTAATTGATATGCCTGTATTATTTGTTCCCCTCCCTTTTTGTCTTATAGGTGGATTTCCTGTTCTTCTAGAGGGGCATATGTCAGGTCCCCAAATCCTTATTATTTTCCCTGCATATATGCTCTTGCTTTGGGGCCTGCCATTCTGCTGGGAGGAGGGAGGAATTTGCTTTCACTTGGAATAACTTTCTCTTTCTACTTTTCCTCTCCCACCTCTATCCACTTGAGAAAGGAATGTGTTTCCCTTATCAGGGAGACGGTTGCAGAGAAATGAAACTGGAGAAGACCTTGAGATGTGCGCCAACTGTTCCAGTTACCCACACATTGTGCCACCTGTGGATTGGCTGGATTTCAAATGGACACTATGACACTGGTGGGAGGAGGAATATTGCTGGTTTAACTATACCATATTAGGATTTTCCCCAGATCTCGCCTTGACTTCCCTACTGTCACTAACCCCTAATAAAAGTTTCCTTTTGAGACAATGCCTGTTTCAAGAGTTCTGCTTTCTTGGTGGTTAGTTGAGGTGGGTCCTTACGCTGCCTTTCAAATATTTTCAATTGTACTCTGTTAAATATACTTTTCATTGCTAAGTCACTAAATAGGTTATGAGTGCTAAGATAATCAGAATGCTAATTGTTAATTTTGGATATATTCTACATGCTGACATGGCAAATGTACAACAATGCAATTATTAATGGAACATTGAGGTGAAAAGGAAAAACAAAGTTTTATAATGAACAAGAACTGCCTGCAACTAAGGGAAGTGAAAAAGTGTCTTTGGATATATGTACACACATATTCTTTGTAATGCTATATTGTTATATAGATTTGTTCTAGGTTATCAAGATATTTGTTTATAACAATCTGTTCAATCAATATCTTTCCCTAGATTGTGAACTGTTAGTACTTACAATCAAGAGGTACATCCAACGCAGTAATAACTTGGCATAAAAAAAGAACCAAATGTATTCTTTTTCCAGAGATGCTGTGAATATCCATTCTTATTCAAAGATGGACCATGAAATTCACTCTAGAGTTACAAGCTCAACTTTCTGTTCTTTAAGATTTCTGGAATAAAGTTGTGTAATCTAGAAAAGAAGCAATGCCACACAGAAAAAGAGAAGTGAATGCTGTAATTATCTTGAGTTACAAATTAGTATGATTCTATATTATGGCTGTTTCATCAATCATAAAAATCAACAAATATCAGCATATGGAATATAATGTGTAAAATAACATGTAAAACATAAGGACTCCAAATACAATTCTAATACTGTATTTTACCTTTTATATAAAAGAGGTTTCAAACTGATTCTATGCAGAAATTCTGATGGCAAATTAGAAATATATGAAGTCATTCTTTGATAACAATATAGCAAAACAGCAATGAACTTTGTCAAAATTAATTTAATTTTTCTTCTTAGGTAGCTGGTGCTGTGTTGTAGCTCAGAAAAAAATACACATTCCTATGTCTGAGACAGAACACTAGATGGTTCATGGCAGTGGTGGGATTCAGCCAGTTCGCATCGGTTCAGGAGAACTGGTAGCTAAATTTACCTGAATTCAAAGAACCGGCTGGCTTCTGGAAGTCCAGTCTAGGCCTCGGAGGCCTCCCAGGCCTAGAACAGACCACCAGAAGTGCATGGATACCACTTCCAGAAGTCCGTTCTAGGCATCGGAGGGCTGGAGGAGGCCTCTCAGACTAGAATGGCCCATCGGAAGTGCATGATGCCACTTCCGGAAGTCCATTTTTGGCATTAGAGGCCCAGGCCTGCATCACATAATAGAACCGGTTGTTCAGGTATTTGAATCCCACCACTGGTTCAGGGAGTTGGTTCCCAGCTCCTTCCTAAGTGAAGACAAAAATTGAGTCATCTTCAAAAAGAAGACAAAATATTTAGGAAATATTTTTGAAAGTGAATTTGAATCTCTTACAGGTTTTACTCTTACTAAGTGTCATTATTTCAGGCATCAATGGTATCATATTCTGTCTCATTTACTCAGAGGACCAGTTTACAAATAATTTGGGTATAATATTTTGGCATTACATTAACATCCTTAAACATTATTTCTCTTCCAAAATCATATAAACTATAATATATACTTTCTGTGATTTATGAACACATTATATCCTTCTTACTATTAATGTTCCTACATTAAGCAAACTATGGTGGCCCCATTAATATCCTGGCCCTAGCCCTGTAGAATATCTGGATCTTCACTCCTTTCCTGCTTTTCCAGAAAATTGTTACATTCATATATTTAAAATTGGAGGGGGAAAGAAAAAGATGTATTATCATAAGCTGGACAGAAAGCAGGATCTATATCAAGTATATTGAAACAGATCCTTTATCTGCCAGGCAACAATTTAATCCAATACATATTTGATTTTTTCTTCTTCTTCTCAATTTATCTGATCCTCAGATACTGCCTGGAGGAATTTGCCTCCTTTGTAGGGTTGAGAGAAAGTGACTGGCTCAAGGTCACCCAGCTAGCTTCATGCCCCAGGGGGGACTAGAACTCAATGTCTTCTGATTTCTAGCTTGATGCTTTAACCACTACACAAAACTGGCTATTTGAAAATGTATGGTACCACTAATATTTCTCAACAGCCACATATTGCCTCAGTAAAATCTGTTTTCAGTTTTGGATACATAAAATATTTATGCAAGCTGAGTCTAGAACAAGAATTTGATAGGAAGTCAGTGTATTTAATTCAGAAAGCTGAATTCAGTAAAGGCTTCTTCTAATAGACAATTATAAAATCCCCATTGTAAATGCACCTGGAGAAGATTAATATTTTAAAAAATGTACAGAATTTCAGGCAGATTTGAAAGTAGAAGAAAAGTAGACGTTAAATTGTAAAAAAAGAAGTTCAAAAATAGTGAAAGAAGGCAGATTTATGAAGTAGTTATCTGGAAAGGGGAAGCATGAATATCACTGGGATCCTGAGATCAGAGATTTTCTGAGGCAGGAATAGTGATTTGATGTTGTTCAGATGTCACTGAATGCTGAGTGAAGACATGAGAATTATCATGTTTAGTCTGTAAGAGGCTGGGTAATGCAGCCTCACCTGCAAGGGATAGAACAGCTATGAAGAGCAAAGGAAATCTGAAGTACAGGTAGTCCTCAACTTACAACATTTCGCTTAGACATCATTCAAAGTTACAAAGGCACTGAAATCAGTAAGTTATGACCATTTTTCACACTTATAACCATTGCAGCATCCCCATGGTCACGTGATTTACATTTGGATGTTTGACAACTGACTCACATTTATGACAGTTGAGTATCCCGGGGTCATGTGATCACCTTTTGCATCCTTCTGACAAGCAAAGTCAATGGGGAAACTAGATTCACTTAACAACTGTGTTACTAATTTAACTGCAATGCAACTGCAATTAACAAATGTGGCAAGAAAAGTCATAAATTGGGGCAAAACTCTTTTAACAAATTTCCAACTTAGCAACATAAAATTTAGGGCTGAATTGTGGTTGCAAGTTGAGAACTACCTGTACTGGAGCTGACATTGCCCCTTCCATTATAAGCCATTCTGCTGTAAGAATAACTTGTTTTATTTTCAGTTTTTATTTACTGAATAAAAAAAATTATAATTATACATTATTTTTCTGTAAAGGCCACTAAACAACGTACACCACAATATGCAAAACAATGGCATACAATATGCATAACTTGTACACTTGACAAATATACAAAGCACCAACTAATTTATACAATTTTATTTATTGATTGGTCTATTATATTTCTATGTTGCTGCTGTGAAAGACACCATTCATGGCAGCACATCAAATAGGTAGTCATGTTCAATTAGTTCTTTGGTGTTACTGAAAAACCATATAGGATTACTTTTTTGTATATGAATCTAGGAAAGAATTAAATTTGGAATGGAAATTTCATTTAATGTCAGGATTACATAGAGAGACCATTCAGTATTATACTGCATGTTCCAGGATTTACAGAGACTCTTTAGAATGTTCTCTCTCTGAAAACTCTTCTAGTTTCTCTGTGGGAATGTTACAAACAGTATTGTTTAATTTCTTTTTCCTTCCTGGTTATAAAAGAACATAAATGTTATGCTTTGTTACATATTAATTAGTTATTCTCCTTCATGGATTACTGCCTTGTCGTGGTGAAGGGGCTTGCGTAACTCAATGGAGCTATGAGCTATGCCGTGCAGGGCCACCCAAGACGGACAGGTCATAGCAGAGAGTTCTGACAAAATGTGATCCACTGGAGAAGGAAATGGCAACCAACTCCAGTATCTTTGCCATGAAAACCCCATGGGCAGTACCAAAAGGCAAAAAGATATGATGCTGGAAGATGAGCCTCTCAGGTCAGAAGGTGTCCAATATGCTACAGGGGAAGAGCAGAGGGCTAGTACTAGTAGCACCAGAAAGAGTGAAGCGACTGGGCCAAAGCCAAAAGGACGCTCAGCTGTGGATGCATCTAGTGGTAAAAGGAAAGTCTGATGCTGTAAAGATCTTTTCTCCCTAGGAACCTGGAATGTAAGAACCATGAATCAAGGCAAGCTGGACGTGGTCAAACAAGAGATGACAAGACTGAAATCGACATCTTAGGAATCAGCGAACTAAAATGGACAGGAAAGGGTGAATTTAATTCAAAGGACCATCAGGTATACTACTGCAGGCAAGAATTCCTTAGAAGAAATGGAGTAGCCTTCATAGTCAATAAAAGAGTAGGAAAAGCAATACTGGGATACAATCCCCAAAATGACAGAATGATCTCAGTGCGAATCCAAGGCAAACCATTCAATATCACAGTAGTCCAAGTCTATGCCCCAACCACTGGTGCTGAAGAGGATGAAATTGACCGGTTCTATGAAGCCCTACAGCACCTTATAGAATCAACACCAAAAAATGATGTCCGTATCATCATGGGGGATTGGAATGCTAAAGTAGGAAGCCAAAAGATAACCGGAATAACAGGCAAGTTTGGCCTTGGAGTACAAAATGAAGCAGGGCACAGGCTGATAGAATTTTGTCAAGAGAATACGATGGTCATAGCAAACTCTCTTTTCCAACAACCCAAGAGACGGCTCTACACATGGACATCGCCAGACAGTCAACACAGAAATCAGATTGATTATGTGCTCTGCAGCCAAAGATGGAGAAGCTCTATACAGTCAGGAAAAACAAGACCAGGAACTGACTGTGGCTCAGATCATGAGCTTCTCGTTGCAAAATTTAGGCTTAAATTGAAGAAAGTAGGGAAAAACACTAGGCCACTCAGGTATGAACTAAATCATATCCCTGATGAATATACAGTAGAGGTGACAAATAGATTTAAGGAATTATATCTGATAGACAGAGTGCCTGAAGAACTATGGACAGAGGTTTGCAACATTGTACAAGAGGTAGCAACTAAAACCATCCCAAAGAAAAAGAAATGCAAGAAAGCAAAATGGCTGTCTGAGGAAGCTTTGCAAATAGCTGAGGAAAGAAGGGAAGTGAAAGGCAAGGGAGAAAGAGAAAGATACATTCATTTGATTGCAGAATTCTAGAGAATAGCTAGAAGAGATAAGAATGCCCTCTTAAATGAAGAAATAGAAGAAAAGAATAGAATAGGGAGAATCAGAGATCTCTTCAAGAAAATTGGAGATATGAAGGGAACGTTTTATGCAAAGATGGGCATGATGAAGGACCAAAATGGCAGGGACCTAACAGAGGCAAAAGAGATTAAGAAGAGGTGACAAAATTACACAGAAGAACTATACAAGAACGAGCTTAGCATCCCTGATAACCACGATGGGGTGGTCACTGACCTAGAATGTGAAGTGAAATGGGCCTTAGGAAAACTGAGCAACAACAAAGCTAGTGGAGGTGACAGTATTCCAGCTGAGCTATTCAAAATCTTAAAGTAAAAGTGCTACAGTCAATTTGCCAGCAAATTTGGAAAACTCAACAGTGGCCACAGGATTGGAAAAGGGCAGTTTACATTCCAATTCCAAAGAAAGGCAATGCCAAAGAATGTTCAAACTATTGCACTATT